AAGGCATTGAGTTTAATTTCGGCAAACTTATAAGAAACGAGATTCGGAGTTGCTCGGATAAAATGATAGGTCAACTTATTTTTTCTAGACTAATAACAGAGTTGTGTTTGCAATTAGGAGTGGAGGTCGATGATGAGGATGTAATAACGCCTAAGAAGCCGGCCACATCCATAAGGAGAGTTCTGGGATACTCGATCGTTCGTGAAGAGGATTCTCCCACTACCACCGTGGATCCCGAGACCCGATGTGTGGTTACGAGAGAATAATATGATCTGCTCTTGACTACTCAACACACCACATGTGAGTTTCTCAAGGAGCTATATGGTGACGGTGCACCTTCTCTTTCCGATGAGCTCGAGGCTGACTTGCATTCTTCTGCACGACTTACTGGTGATGATTCTTCAGATGACGATGATTATTGGAGTATCTCTATCTTTTTGCTTGAATAATTGATATTTTTGCTTAATGTGTTTTTAGTTTGCTTGTCAGGTTGTTTAGGTTAGTTTTGGTTTTAGGATAGTTTTTGTGGGATGTTTGCTGTTAGTAAGGAATGTTGGTTGTGTTTCTACGTATCGTCTTAAGTTCAAACTTTGCATGCTTCCTTGTTCTAGTTACAGGTTTGTCCTTAGCTTTTTCTGGCATCTTTTATAAACTTTCAGCATGCTCATCTTTTTAATGAAAAGATTTCCTTTGTTCTTTGTTTTTTGTATCATGACGGTGAGAATACTTAAGGGCATGAATATGTTATATTTACTAGTTTTATGATGAAGCCATAAGTCATTTATCACTTTTTCTTTTGATTATAAAAATGTGTTCTGCTTCTTTTCGTATTAAAACTTAAAATTTTTCATTATTAGGAAGTCCTTATCCTTTTTGTGCCAAAATTGTGCATCTCTCAATCTTTTTGTTTTAAGAAAGAAAGTGCTTGTTACGTTTTGAAAAGAGTCAGAAAGAAAATCAAGCAATAAAAAATAGTCATACGCAGAAATTTCTTTTCGAAAAAAGAGTATGAAAAAAGAGTTCAAAAGAATAAAAATCAAGTTAAAAAAGAGTTTTGAGAGAAAATAAGAGTGGGGGAAAGAAAACAAAAATAAAAGTGAGAGAAAGACAAGAATGGTAAGAAGCATGAGCGGCAATATAATCCACTCACTTTTTCGCGAGTCCAACTATAGATACTGCCCATTTATCTTTAAATGGGTGGCGTTAGCATCTTGGAGGGTAGTAGCCTACATATTAAGGTGACTTTGTGAAATCTATTGTCGACATCATTTTATGCCGGTTTGCTACCTAAAAAGTTTCTATGAGTGGTTGTGGTTGGAAACCGATGTTAGTGAGTGGAAAACCTCAAGGCTAATAGCCGGTCCAGATGTCTTCTTGAGGTAACACTTTTCAATTTCCAAACGGAAATGTGCATATTTCTTGGTTTTGTAAAAAGTTTTGTGTTTTAGAAAAGAAGAGGATTTAGAGTCATTTTTATTTTCAAAACAAATAATGGTTTATGGTATGTTGGCTTAAGGTTAAAGTTATGATGTTTAGCTCGTGGAGTCCTTCCTAAGACGAACATGATTCATTTACTTAGAATTTTTGGATTCTTGATCATTTATCTTTCTAGCATGTTGATTATTTTGGATTTGTTGTTGTTTTTTCTTGAGGACAAACAAATGGCTAAGTCTGGGGGTGTGTTAGGTTTGACTTTTTACTGTAGAAATGTGTGTCGGTAGGCCTGTTTGACCATAAAAATGAAACAATTCTCATCATTATTAGTTGAAAAGATTTACATATTCTTAAAGTAGAACATGCATAGAACATTTCTCGATAATTTGCAATATTTGGTACTTTAGGAAAAATGTGAGGAAAACGCGGTCAAAGTTCGAAGAAAATCACAGATTCTGTTTTGCAGGAAATTATGTCTGGTGCAATTTTGGCACGGTCAACCTCCAAAACGTGCGTTTCACTTAATGCAAGGCAAGGGAGTCATTTCCAACATATTTCAATGAAACCAAAATTGTGAGTCCAAGTCAAGGAGAGTTTGTTTAAAGAATCTCAACTCATTTCCACCTAAAATCGTGGGAAATTCAACCAACTTGAGGGCCTATAAAAGGGCGCCTCTCCCCCAACAGCAAAGCAGTCATTTCCATCTCGTTTTCATCTTCCTTTCTTCCGTTCTTAGCTATAGGGTTCGTTCATAAGTTTGGAGTAGTGTTTGAGTTGTTCTTCTCTTGTATTTTCACACTTTTACTTATCGTATTGCTTTTAATTCAAGTTTCTACTTCCATTCTTCATCTATTCCCTTCTTTTAAAGTTCCTAAGCGAGTTTACACTTCCTTCACGCTTGAAAGATAAGAGGGTTAAGCTAAAACTCCTTCTACGACGTTATTATTCATTTAAATTCAATGGAAATTAATTCTTTTATGTTTTCGTTCGTTCTCTTTCCTTTAATTATGCACTAATTTATTTATCGACCTTTCTTTTGAATGCCTTAGCCAAAATGATTTGATTTTCAATATGCTCGAGATTTGCCCAGTGGCGCAATCTTGGGTTGGTTGCTAAAAAATTCACTTCACTTTTTTTTCCATTTGACCACTGGAAAATTGATGTATGCACTAAAATCTAACTCTGAGAAGGGTGGGTTAGGTAAAATAATAGGAAAGTCTAACTCTGAGAAGGGTGGGTTAGGTGAAATAATAGGAAACCCATATGAGATATGACTTATACATAAGCGCATAAAACACGGTCGTAAACATAGACCCTCAGACGCATAAATGAAAATGAGTTGATAATCGCTTTTTATGATTGTAATCACACATAGAAATATGATTGTTAGGTTACCCTAGCCAAAAGCAGTTCGTGAAAGGGTATGACTCATATTCCCAAAGATTAGCCAAATAGTGTCTGATGTACTTTTCCAAAAGTGTGTATCGTTCATATTTTCCATCAAAACTAAGGTAGGAAGTAAAGAGGTTGTTTTTTATTAAATTGCTTGATATTTGGAACCCCAAATAACAACATTTTATCGTTATTTTCTTAATAACCACAATTGCACTTTGAATCAGTTCAGTTCTTTAAAATAGTAATGAAAAGCACAAATCCCTGAGGATTCGACCTTAGATTAGTCCCAAGTATTACTTGTGACCGTATACTCTTGCACGTATCTCTTATCTTTTAAAGGTAGATAAAGTCCCAACATGTAAGTATGTTGTTTATGTCGGACCCTTTTAGATAAGGGCTGTTTACTAAGTACTAGTTGTTGTACTTCACCCCCTCCCCCTACTCTCCATATTTTGCAGATAATTAATGAGGTAACTCACGAGAGTGATGATGGCAAGGAGGAGACTTGACTGACACGACCTTATATTGCTGCGTCATTTTAATTTTTTATAGGGTAGTTGCAGTTGTTTCTTTTATAGTTTGGGTTTGTTATTCGATTAATAGGTTGGTTTGTGTAGTTTCTTGGTCAGGGGATGTTTTTTAAGTTTTCTATTTGTTATCTTTTGAGAACTATGGTTTCAGTTAGCAATTTGAGCTGTGGGGTTGAAACTTATTGAAGCTAGCATTCTTTAATTTTGTGTTAAGTTGAAATTAAGCTACCTTTTACTTCGTTGTTATTTACGAGTTTAACATTCATTTGATAGTTTATGGTTTGTAAATTTTGTAAAGTTAATAAAGTTCACTTGACTAAAATTGTGGAATAAAATGTAGTTTTGTTCCATTGATTGAGTTAAGTTACATAAGAGATTTTAATAACTTGTCTCATCTAGTGTAGTTAGAACTTTGGGGTGTTATAGCTCGCTCCTCTTAGCTCGGCTAGTCACCTTGCACAAGTCTCGAGCCCCACAGAATTAAGCTTAAACAAAATGCAAAGCTTAAAAAAGATTATCTAATAGAGTCGTACACTTTCAATTGCCGGGTGAAATATAAAAGTAACACAAAAGGGAATATGTGTTTATATATATAGCATTAGATTTTAAAATTTATAAAAATTACATAAATTGCAAATTTATACAATCACGTGATGTGACTTTTTGGAAAAGAATAAAATTCATTCTACTTTTATAAATACATACTCCTTTTAATATCATCTAGTGTAGTTTTTATTATTATTTTCTTTAATGATGTGTAAGTGCGTCATCCAATTAATACACTATTTTACTTTTTAATACATCATTTATTAATTAATTAATTTTAAATTTTAAATTCTTTTAGATCTAATCCAATCAACCCTTCGTGGGTGATAATTGATAACAAGATGGGATTCATCATCCACTTCTTCAATAATTTTTCTTATGCATTCAATAATTTTTCTTATGCATTTATTTATTCACGCGCTATGCTTTATTTACATCTTAAATTATATACATTTAAGATTTAAATTTTCGTGGCTAATAGAAAGGATTACACTAAAACAAATAAATATAGGACTTTTATTAATCAAACTCCTACGATATGTAATCGAATGTTGAGTCGTCTCTTCTTATTCGTGTATATAGTTAAGTTTTTGGTCTAATCAAAGAAAAGTACCGCTTGATATTTCAAAGACTTCCTTTCACGTAGGAAATTTTGCAAATAAATTCTTTTGTGCAATATCTTTAAAAAAACAAAAAAAGAAAGAAAGACTTTAAATCAAATCATATTATTACTTCCTGGAAAATTATTGATATTTTCATGATTCTAAAGGTGCTAGAGATTTTATTTCAAATAAGTTATTTTTAAAATTACGGACACAGTAAAACAAAGAGAAAAATAGGGGTCGTTATTATTTTCCCTCTTTCCGTAGCAAAAAAACTTGTTAATTAAAAGAAAAAACAAAAGCGCTTCTCTTTTGCATTACTTGCTGCTTGGTTTGTCAAACAAACCAGAAAAAATTATACGGAAACAAATTAATAATGATTGGTTTGTAAACTTTAAGATCAATAATATTTGAAAAGGGAAAAAAAAACAAGTTTGCAGACAAATGAGATTAAAAGAAACATAAAAATAATAGATTAGATTCAAAGATAAAAAATTTAACTATTACATTCAAATATATACGTAAATGAAAATAAAATGCGACCAATTTCTTTGTCACACGAACTCATTAACCCGTAGGGTAAACGCATTCTCCATACTCTGCATCACAAATAGCACCGTTCAGACATATTATTCTAAGAAAATGGATTTTTTAAAGTCAAAAAAATAAAAATAGGGGGATTGAAATTTTGATGATACTTACGAGGAGGTTGATTAACGATGTACGCAGCTCCATCGAAATCACAGGACCCAGCTGCACGAGCTTTTTTCTGGTAATAGCTGTTGAAAGCGTACGAAGCATGGGCCTCAAGTGTATTAGGGCTAAAGCAGTTAGAACCAGGTTGGATCGGACCACAATCGGCACCTCCCACCCCACACGCATATTGTAGCCCTGCTTGGAGCTTATCTGCACCAGCATTCTCGTTAGCTACACACCACGATTGAACCTGGGACGATGGCGTCCCACTGTTGGGCGGCGTCCCACTGCTGGGCGGCGTCCCACTGCTGGGCGGCGTCCCACTGCTCGGCGGCGTCCCACTGTTGGGCCCCGTTGGGAATATACAGTCTCCAAACTCTACATCACAAATAATATTGTTCAGCCAAATCATTTTTAAATGGATATTAAGTTAGTGGTTACGTAGACTGGGTGGCCGTCGAAAGGAGATGATGAGGAACTTGGAGGGAGTTTGAAGAATGCAGCATCGTATAATGGAAATTTGTTGCATAGAGTTCTAACGGGAAGTGGTACTTACGGGGAGGTTCATCAACGACATAAGCTGCTCCATTGAAATCGCAAGCTGCATGTTCACGACCCTTCCTCTGGTAAAAGCTATTAAAAGCATAAGAAGCGTGGGCCTCAAGAGTATTAGGATTATAGCACGTGGAACCTGGCTGGATTGGACCGCAATCGGCACCTCCCTCCCCACATGCATACTCCATCGCTGACTTGAGCTTATCCTCCCCAGCGTTTTCAATGGCCACACACCACGTTTGACCCGGGGGTGAAGGTGTCACACTACCAGGCGGTGGTGTTCCAATTGTTGGCGGCGTCCCAGTGCTTGGCGGCACCGCAGTGTTTGGTGGCGACCCACTACCGGGCGATGTCTCACTATCAGGCCCAGTAGGGAATGGGCATTCTCCATACTCTGCGTCACAAATAACTCCGTTTAGGCAAATCATTTTA